ATAAGCCACACGGCACATTACTCTGTCCAGCACCGTTTCCTTTCCCTCCAAACTTGTACAGGAACCGTCCTCTCCCATCAAACACTTTCACACAGTTATTATTGCAGTCAGTTACAAAGAACTTTTCCTCGTAACAAACGCAGCTGAGTGGATGATTCAGCCTTTCTGGGTCACTGTCTCCAAACTTAAACACAGGTTCACCATCAATTGAAAACACCTCAATTCTGCTGTTATTATAATCCGCTACAACAATAAAACGTTCATCACTTGTAAAACAAACACTTGCGAGATTCTCAAACTCTCCATCTACAATTCCCAGTTTTCCAAAGCTTTTCACAAAGTTCCCTGTCTGTACATTTAGCTGCTGTATTCGGTGATTACATTGATCATTCCTCCGCCACCGGAATTTCGTCATCGTTTAGGAATGTGACGTTGACTGGTTTGTTTAGTTGTCCATCCTCGTCTCCATAAGAACCAAGTTTTTCCACAAACTTCCTGTCTCATCAAATACCAGGATACAGTGACTATTCATATCAGCCACAGCAAGAACACCTTTGCTGTTCACTGCAATGCCGGCAAGACCTTGTTGCCTACTTCTCTGAAAGTCCAACTTGCCCACAACATTTAACTCTCGTGCTTTAACCTGATTAGAAAATGGATTCTTGGCAAGTTTCTGTTTCATATGTACCTGGTGCTTTCGCTACAAATTTTTCCTGGAAACCTCCATATTCTTTTTCACTTGTAACAAAACTCCTCACCTGATTCGCAGGATCTATATGTACTTCACACGATCTGTGTGCTAAATGTTTCTGATTTATCCTTCACTTATTTTGGGACAAATTAGTAGCTCTGCTTCTACACCAGCTTGAAAATTCTGATCCAGTCCTTCCATGGTCGATCCTTGTACATCTGTTTCGCTGAATTTCGTAAATCCCAGACTCAAACTCTCTGGTTCGCATGTCGACACAAATTCTACACACGCGCTTACCGGAAGTGCTGGCATTGTCGTCTTGATGAGGTCCTCAGTAGATTCTCTCTTCCACATTCTTCTTGTTTTGCATTATGTCTGAGCTGGAGCTTCTTTCAACCAGGTTGTTACTGAATTCAAATGCTTGGTCAAGTTGCTTTTCCAAAGAGACAACCGATGCTTTTCCAGAATGTAATTTCTCAATCCTTGACACGCGAGTCTTCTCGAGGGCAGTAATGGCTCCACGCTCCAATTAGCGAAGCTTTCCCATCATCTGTTCAGTTGCTTGGGAAACTTGGCATTTAGCGGCGGTAATGTTCATTTCCAACTGAGCTTCCGTCTTCTAAATTTACGAATAACACCTCGACAAGCCTCTTTCTTCCCTTTCAACAGCACGGCTCGTGCGATTATCTTTGCTTTTTTATCATTCGCTGCCTTTTCAAGCGGAACAATGTCGTGGATTTTGTGATCTGTGGTGATGCAAACTTGACATACACATCTTTGACAGTCCACGCAAAAAAACCGAGTCACATCTCTTTTGTGGTAATTCTCGTGATACTTAACGGAGCAAAACGACTGCCATTTTAACAAGGCCTTGTAGCCTGCGGCTTGAAAGTGATGCACTGGCGTGACTTTGTGTCCCTCAAACATAGTTTCTCGAAACACTTCGCGTGCTTTCACACTGTCGAGGCACATAAACTTCTCGCAATCGAAGCAGTAGTTGATCTCAGCGCTCTTCTTCTGGCATGTACTAGAGCTGATCTCATTTCCTTCGCCATTGCGTCGAACGGCAAGAAGACTCAACAAACTATTGTGCAAACTGCTTTGTAGGTCATCCAAACGCTTTCTTTCAGGGATGCAAAGTTGTGCCTGACACTTGGGGCATGGATACAGCCCTTGATTTTGTCTCGTCAGTGCATGTCTTTGCGGGTGATGATGACTGGCCCCAGGAGAATAACTATTAACCCTTTATAATTAGCCCTTAAGAGTGACTCGCATCTAATTTCCCCTTACTGTATCACCCCTGAATCAGACATGAAAGTCGTTAGAACAAAGGAAATGATCACCAACTAAAGCAGCTCTTGACTGTAACACAAATTCTCCTTGTCAGCCTCTTTAAAAATTTATGAAGACTGTTATGATGTAATGTTTTCTTTATCACGTGACTCACCTCGTGCATGTCAAGATTAACCCTTGTACCGTTGTTACTTTGCCGCTATTAAAAACAAGTTGAGTTTGTACCTCCGGAGTCATTATTTCCCCACTAAACACTACAAAGACCATTATGGAGAATATTTATACTGATGTTATGGGGTAAAAGGTACCTAAGGAATTGAAGACATGGCAGGCCCAACTTCCAACACTTCTGGGTGAACTAAAAATAAAAAAAAATATTTTACAAGATTGACAGGTCTATCTGCATTCAGAGGGAAGTTCAGTCTTGACACTTGGTCTTGTTTGATGCAGTCTGGTACTTGATTGTAGGAACAAGAACTACAAAATGGGTTTGCCAGTCTAATTGACAAGTTTAAGGAATATCCTGGTAACTTAAGAGGCCTGTAAAGCAGTTCTGTTTTCATTCAAGATGGGCTTTTCAAAAGTTTTAAAATTATACAGCAAAACTATCAGGAAAAGATAGAAAATGGACTGGTTAGGGTCCCATCTATTTTATACTATTTTATTCCCTCAGACTTGTATTTTATTGCTATTTTACCTGATAGGGAAAGGAAAGCCACTATTTTAATTGTGTTTTACTTATATTTTAAACCTATTTTAAAGCAAGATTGAACAAGGTGGTGTAATTTATTTCTATTTTCTCTAAACAAGTGGAAAGATAACCAGCACAACAGACTATTTTACTCCTATTTTTAATTCCTACATGAGTAAAATAGTGATAAAATAGGCTGTTTTATATATATTTTCTGCTGATAGGACATGTTATGGCCATTTCCTTTGGAAAATATGAAAAAATAGGTTATCAAAGAAAATGTTGAGTAATTACAAAATAGGTCTAAAATAGACTGTTTCATTTCTATTTTTTGAGGTGGATTCTATTCCACTGCAAAATATGTATTAAATAGCCTATTTTAATTCTATTTTCTACAAAGTATCCCAGACCCACAATATTTAAAACAGCAATTAGACGCTGGGCGTGAAATTGCGCCTAATACAAGCGCCAATGCGACTAAATTTTACACTTTGGCGACCAAATCCTGGAAATTAGTCGCCAAATTGGAGACTAGAATGTTTCATCATAACCTTAACAAGAGATATAGTGAATTAAAAAGATTTGCAAAGATAAATCCGCGGCAAACTTCCTCGTTAAGTTCGTTTCCAAAACGCAACACATGCATCTTGATCGATAACTAGACGCCGTCTTGGATTTAGGTGAGCTCTAATGTTTCGCCCCATGTAAGGTAATCCAGGACAGTATTAGATTCTGGATTCCACGCTGTGGATTCCGGATTCCAGGTGCTGGATTCCGGATTCTACCACTGCAGATTCCGGATTCCAAAACACAAAAGATTCCAGATTTTAGTTTCTGATTTGCCCTTAATTTTCGCATTTCGCTTTCTAGGAATGACTTCAATGGCGGATTTCGCTATTGAAGGACATGTTTGTGAATGCATGTTTGTCTATTCATATTTCCATAACAACATTTGATAATTATGAGAAATGTATAACAGCAAATTAAGGGATAAATTTTTGACTGTCCGTCACTTAAGTCCAATGTCCATTCATTCCACATCTTTTCAGCAACTCTGAAGAGGCGAGGCCGCATTTCTTTTGTACAGGTTCCTCGAGGTTCTTCAAGTGATTTAACAGTAACAAAGAACTAATAGTTCAAATCTTTGCTTACCATTTTAAATTTGTAAATAACTGTTAGACTAAAATGTTTTTCTAGTGCAGCATAACATTGTTCCGACTGGGAAAAGATGGCCATTTTTTAAATATAAAATTGACGTAGAACTGCAAGAAAACAGCTCGAAAATATTTCCCTATCATCCCAAATTACTTTTTAAACTTTCCTTTTAAACAAAAACCGTGGTATTGAAGAAATAATGTAAACTGGAATATAATTTTAATAACATTCCTAGTAAATCGCGGACAGAAAAGCTTTTTTTCCTAGATGTAATTGGCGATGATGTTCGACGAGATTGCGCATAAAACGGTGTTAAACCAATTTAACTATACTTAAACCTTTGAAAAATCGCGAAAGCTCTTCATTTACATAGTAATTTTTGAAGAATAACAGATTCTCTTTTCTATACTTCCTTTTTTCTTAAAAGGTTAGCCAAGTCATGTCGTATTACGTCGGCTATGAATCCTTCAGAGCAATGACTCTATAAGGTTTCAGATGGCCCGCCATCTTCGTCATCAGGGTCACCATTAGCAAGCCTGCAGAGCCTATTGTCCTCCTCAGACGTTAGAGTGATGCTTGAACCCTTGGCAGTGAATCCCAAAACTCGGTTTAGAGTGCAGTTGGGTGAGTTCCGATATTGTATATCGTCTATCCCAGTGTCCACCTTGTAGTACGCTAAAGATCTTTTCCCAAACTTAATTTTGGAGGTTCTATTTAGAACGCTGACAGCTTAAAAAAAGGTTTTGTTTGTCTTTGAAAATGGCGACCAACTTTTTTCCACTTGGCTACCACTTTTAAGAATTAAGGAGCCAAGTGGCTATCAGAAAAAAAAATTAATTTCACGCCCCGAGACGTGTAGTGCAATAACCAGTCACATTTTATTCCTATTTTATTTGTGAATTCAAGCTTGACTAACAATGTATTGTTGTTCTATATTACAAAATAGAATTTTAAGGCAGCTGTTTGGCACCTGCACCAATCATACCTTCACTACATACACTCATGGAAATTCAAAAGTTACACTGATTCTGTGTTAACAAGATAAAGACGGGTTCAAAATTGAAAACGTCAGGCCGACGTTTTTCATTTGCTTTGTTGTAGCTTTCAAGTTTCCGTTTAAACAAATCATGTAGCGAGTTTGAAGGGCGACAGTTAAATGTGTGCTACACAACGTTCATTTGAGTGCTAAAATTTCACCGTCGAAGATGGCCTCATCGTCGAAGCGTGCACGGGTGAGCTTTATCTCCGCAGAGATTGCTTTAGAAAAAAATATTTTATGATGAAGACACCGCTGATGGGATGGACAGTGGAGAAGAAAGTGATTTAGACCGGCAGATCGAGGTGAGAAGTCAATATCGGCCATCGCGAAATGGTCGCCATCGCACATGTTGTCTTGAAATGCGAAGTTGTTCGCCTCAGATAGCCCTTTTGTGATTGATTTCTCGCGTACTTCTTGAAATTTGATTACAAATTGATTTTTGCGACTCTGAAAATCAATAATTTACGCTAAGAGTGTGTTTTTAGCGATGAGATGTGATGCGATTCAAACTATTTGCACAAGCGAAATATTAGACGCGTAATTCGATCAGCTGCTAGTTGTTGCTATGGAGAAATGCATTTTTCGAACGCGTCGGATGCTTGGAATTCGTTGGCGATTTGGCGATTTAGTTTAGTATCGCTTGTTCATTCGGTTAATTTTGAGTATTTTACGGAATATAAGCAGTGTACATTTTATATTTTTAGCGAGGGAGAAGTTGAAGATGACGATCGGCCGGAGGAGGCTTGCGCTTCGACTTAGGAACCCATGGCTCCTGGTGAGTGAAATATTTCCAACCTGCGAAATTTAACAACAAGTATAATTTCCGAATGCGTATACCATAGAATAACTTGAATTTGTTTAGGATATTATTCTATAAATGTTGAGGATAATTGATTTATTCATTGAAAATTATATTTTTGTTTGAATGTGTTGTTGGTGGCCCCTCTGCTCCTTCTGCTGCTGCTGCCAGATTCTAACCACAAAAAGTGGTGGAAAACTATGGTTTACCACCTAATTGACATGGCTGTAGTCAATGGCTTTATCCTTTTCAAAGAGCATCAGGCTCAGTTTCCTGACAATGAAGCTCTAAAAAGGCCCTCTCAGTATTCTTTGGGTGATTTCTGGGAAGAAATTGTTGGCAACTCTGTGGTTTACCCGATTATGGTAGTCCACCAGAGAATACCATGATGAAATCACCCCCTTCCACCCCAGAGGAATTTACAACTTTCCATATCCCAATTTTCTCTGATACTCAGAGACGCTGTGTGGTATGTTATAAAGAGGGTAGGGGAGATTTCAGGGTTCGATCTTATTGCAATGCCCCTCAATGTCAAAAGTGTATGCATGTTAGTAAGGATTGGGATTGTTTTGCAGTGTTTCACTCTAAGAAGTACCACAGGCAAATTTTGCTGATGTTTATTCCAATGTTTTCAGATGTTGTGTTTCTCAAAAATATCAGAAAAAAAAAAAAAAACTTTTTTTACCTTGTTGCTTTTATCTTTGTCAGTGGGAATAGTTGTGATTTGGTCCTTGTTTTCTCAGGGAGGACTCTCATTAGTTAGTAGGGATGTTAAAAGGCAAATTCATTCACCCAGTAACACATCAGGGCCTACCCATCCTCCTGTTATAAAGTCGAATTTCCCAACAAATTTTTTTTTTCCTGCTAATTTTTTGGAATGACATGGGTGCACATAAAAATTCATAAAAAATTCATTATTTATTCTTTTTCTTTCAGATTTTCAGGAAATGTTGCTGAAAAGGTAATAATTAACTTCTGCTATCAATTAATCTTAAGTAACCTATACCTGTGAGGAAAAGTGACTTTGACCTCAAGTTTTATGCTGTCTTACTTATTTTATGTTTTAAATTTTACTTTTTAGGAAATTCCTGGGTTTCAATGATGAATTTTTTTTTTCCTGAGAAGCCCATTTTATACACTTTAAAATGACATATTGTAGGTGTTATTCCTGTAAATATTTGTTAAGATATGAATTGAAAACTGAATGTGGACAAATTTTTGCTAATTTTTTTGGAATGACATGGGTGCACATAAAAATTCATAAAAAATTCATTATTTATTCTTTTTCTTTCAGATTTTCAGGAAATGTTGCTGACATGTCAATAATTAACTTCTGTTGTCAATTAATCTTGAGTAACCTATACCTGTGAGGAAAAGTGACTTTTGACCTCAAGTTTTACACTATGTCTTACTTATTTTGTGTTTTAAATTTTACTTTTTAGGAAAGTCCTGGGTTTCAATAATGAATTTTTTTTTTCCTGAGAAGCCCATTCTATACACTTTAAAATGACATATTGTAGGTGTTATTCCTGTAAATATTTGTTGAGATATGAATTAAAAACTGAATGTGGACAAATTTGTGCGTTTTTTGTAACTGCTGGTGTTGGTTTAAGTTTCTTTCTTTGCCAAAGAGTTGAACGCGAAGGCTTGCCTTTAGCGTCGAATCTCCACTTTTTATTGCCCGGATCGTCGCTTGGGTCATGTTTAACTGAAACTGATCAACAAATCGATCAGCACAGCAACCAAGCTTGCTCAGAAGTGGGCTTTGAGTCTTTATTTCCTCGACAACTTTCGGCCACAAATCGTGCATTTGTAATACGATCGATTCTTGTCCATTATTGCTACATAGAGTGAGTTCACATTATTTATATCGTCGTCATAACATGGATCCAAGGTAGAAGTCAGCATGTACTTACGCGCTTCTCTTGAAACTGCAATCGGGCAAGCCAGTGGATTCTCTTTACTAGCCAATGACAATTCCCAAAAGATCCACGTGATCACGTCCGAAATCAGAAACAAAGAAGACTCCATTTCGCGCTCATCTTTGAATGCACTTTTCAACGGTTGATAGCTCGTGCTTCGTGTTATTTCTTTACTTAACTGTTTTACCTAATATGACATTTCTAAAGATGGGTTTTATCGTGGTTCAATGAGAAAACGAGAAGAGCGTGAGTTTTGTAGGTGAAAAGGAAGTCGTTGGCGCCGTGGTGTTAAAAGAAGGGACAACAGTTGACATATCGACTGGTACGAACAAAGGTCGAATGGCCATTTATAAAGCTACGAATTTGAAAGTTGAGGTGAGTAAAAATTGCGATATTCGTTACGTGATCAAAATCTTACCAAAGAAATAGATATAACGGCTTGAATTAAGCTTACACAACGCTCAGCGCAACTGAAACTCAAATAATTCTGAGAATGGAAACAGTCACTTGCATGCCACAGTTTCTTAAGTTTACACTTTACAATGAAATAAATCTGGTAAAATTTTCGCACAGCCCATACTAAATTATGCATTCAGTTCTTGGATAGAGAAAACAATTACAAAAACAATAGATTGCCTTTGGGAAAACAGATTTTTTTTTTATACAGTAGTATGGGGCCGAGCGGAAATTTTACCATAAATCTATCAGTAAGGTTTCAAGATTACTTTGTTAGTTTCGAAGCGCGTAACTTGTGTACTTTCCTGTTATGTTAGTTCCGGTCTATTATTTCTTCGTTGGTTAATGATTATTACTTAATAAGTTTTTTTTATTTCAATCAGTTTCATTTAAGCACACGTACCAAATATTGTGTTTCATATTTCATTTTGTCTGCTATTCACGTACGATCCGCTATCGGCGATTTTATCTACAATCATTAGGAGCTAGACCAAAGTATGTTTTCTTTATTTCACATTTAAGATATTTCCCTTTCTTTAGATACGGACATCGATTTATTTTTCGCTTTCAGTTCACTTTATAATCGCTTCATTGTTAATTAGGCTAGTGTTACATTTCTCAGGGATATTTTCTTAGTTTGGTTTCTGCTGCATTTTCTTTTAGTTTGAACCACACAAATTCAGCTACAACGTTACCATCAATCATAATTACGCTATCTTCAATCTTACCTCGCCCTCTTCATCTGTGATTTCACTCCGATCTCCTTATTTTCGTTTGTAATTTTGATTACGTACTTCATTTGATTAAACCGTGAATTATATTGTGCGTTCGGATTGTCTTCTCCGCTACACTAGTAACCTTTGAAGGTTACATACTTTAGTCACGTTTTGGAACATTCTAGATTCATAAAACAAACTGTGATTAACCAAACCTGATTACATAAAGAAGCCCTCCTTGATAAAAAACAAAATAATATATTCAGCCCTTTTTTTTAAATTAAAATCTATGGAAGAGATGTGCTAACTCCAAGATGAAAGTCATTCAATATAGCAGAAGTTCCAATCCCAGTGCACTTTGTTAAATTAGGATTCCAATGAATGCCCTTTTCCTTATAGCTATCTAAGGCTTTGTCTGAGCTCATAATTTTTTTTTTTATGCCATGGAATCCAGATACAAAATGGAAAGGCTTCTTGTAGACAACCTCATTCAAGGCCTGCAGAGAAAGCTGTAAGCCTAGGAAAAAAAGGCAAACACCAGCTTAGGATAACTTCATTCTAATTTATTGTTACAGTTACAACAAGATTTTAATTGAGGATAATTCTTATGAAGTTTTCCAGAAAAGAAAAAGAAATCAAATTCTGTCCTAACATTACTACTTGTTTATGTTAAAATACAGTCAAAATATTTTACATGTAAACCTAAGTGAAGTGTGTAAATAAATTTCATTGAATACTTGAATTTTTAGTTGGGATTTTTAAATTTTCAGTATTTATTTCATGTTAGTTGCCTCAATTTTTGCTTAAAATTCCCAGTAATTCTTAAACATTCCTAGAAATTCCTGAAAATTCCTAGGAATTTCTGGCAAGTTTTTAGATTTACAGCCTTTTAGGGAAAGTCGTTGGTGCTCTGTTGGCTATTATCCTGGAATTTCTGGAAATTTCTAGGTTTTTTAGAACCAGGGTTGTCACAGTTGGGAATTCTTAGGACTTCCCTTTTTGAATTTACCATGAAAATTCACACCTGCTATTCCTAAGAATTACATTTTTTCCTTGGAATTGCATATACATGAGGCTCTACTTTAAACCTATTATAAGTGTATTTTTATCCTATTTTTTCAAGTTTTTTTCCTATTTTATCCCTGTTTTATGTCTATTTTATGTCTCTTATAACTATTTTATATATTCCTATTTTTTCCTCCTTTATTCCTATTTTATGTATATGTTAAACCTATTTTAAATGTAGGTATTTATATCCTATTTTTCCCAATTTTTTGTATTTTTTCTCTATTTTCTTTTCTAACTAATGTTTCATTAATGCTATTTTAATCCTATTTTATCATCAAATTGCATTCCCCTTTTTCTCCATTTAAAGCTATTTTAAAGTTATCTATACAGTAGTTATGCCTTGCCAACCAGACTATTTTTTTACCATTTTTTGTTTCAGAATAATAGGTTTAAAATAGTTTTAAAATAATTTTAAAATAGTCTGGAAAATAATGAAAAAATAGTTTAAAAAATAGATATAAAATAGGCACTATTTTAGTATATTAACTTTAAAATATGGTTTGGGGCCCTTTAAGTTACTGGTACTTTCAGGAAACAGGTCCATGAACTAAATGTATAAAGATGGCCTTACGCCTTAAGCGAAATTTTTTTTTTGACCCTTGGCAGAAAGATGATAATCTTGAAGCAAAATCAGTAATACAAAACTAGGGTTTGATCTTGATCCTGCCTAAGTGTTACAGACAAAATAGTATCCACAGAGGAGGCAAAAGTGCATAAGGTTGTTGTTTATTTCTGCATCTTTCTATGATCTAAGCCCACTCCGTTTCGGAACCCAGTCTGTTCAAACAGTGTACACACCAAATAAGACATTTTGCCCCCTAATGCTGTCATTGTTTGGCCTTTTGAAAGTTTGATGTAAAAAATAATACATAATAATTCTAGATAAGCCCTTTCTACACAGAAGGCAGGTTTGTTACATTAAGGCGGTAACAGGCATGGAAGCATGACAATGATGGAAACAAAACTTTTTAGTGCTGCCTTTGTACCTGTACTTACTATAAATCTTTTTGATAACTCTGAGAAGGCCTTAATTGACTATGGGTTAATACAGATTTATCCTTGAGTGTCAACAACATCTCACTCGCAAGAGATATTATAAACTCATATCCACAAGAAGACAAATATTGTTCTGATTAGTCTAGATCTATGGTTACTGAATATGTATTTAAACCAACAAAAACTTTAAAACACAAAAGAACATCAAATGCAGAGAACAACACATAAAATCAGCTCTCAGAAAAGCTACTTCAGCCTCCAACTAAATGTAAAGCAAGTTCTCATTCCAAACATACAGCAAAAGTTGGTATAAATTAAAATACTGTATTTATTCACTTATAAGGCACACCATTTTTTACAAGAAAATATGCTTGCTTGATCAAAATCTGCTCAAAACTTGGGGTGCATCTTACAACCGAGTATTTTCGCGTAACAAAATATAACTTTTCCAAATTTCCCTAATAAACTGAAATGAGTATGTAAATAAATACCAATAAATGAATAAAAAAAAGACAAACAATGTTGATCATTGACTTAACTGATTTTTGGTTCTAAAAAGAACCAGGGTGGCTCTGAAAGGAACCGTTTGTTTGAAAGCTGGAGAACAAGACATGCTGTTGGTTTCTCCATTTACAGACCATCAATTCCGATAAAATTGTAGTAAGTACAGTAATTTCCCGTATTTATGTGAAATTTTCATTTTGCTTGCTTGTCACAATAATATTGTCTTTGAAAGTTAAGGGTGCGTCTTGTAACCAAGTGCACCTTATAAGTGAATAAATACTGTAGTTTATTAATCTACATCTAGTTCTGATATTGCCCTAGTAACTTTATATGATATGTACATCTGGATATAAAACACTTTATTCTCAAAGGGTGCATTTCAACTGAGTGTCCTACAACCCAATCCAAAGTGATCACAACTGCCAATCATCGAGCACTTTTCAATTGAGTATCAAAAAACCCAAACCAAAGTAATCACAACTGCCATTCAGAACAAAAGGTTACCTTAATTATTAGCCAAAGAGAACTCAGAGTAAAAACAGACAACCTCCTTTAAAAACATGGAAAAACACCAATGACCAGGTCATGATTGATTTTAGTTTTAAATTTCCTTGGTTGAGATTGTAACACAAGTTTTCTGGACCAATCACACAATGAAGTAAAGCAAAACCAAAGCAATCCAGCATCACTTTTGGTACTCAGTTGGAAACTGTTCTAACAAAAGAAACATAACAAAAGGCCAAAGACAACTCAAAGAAAAACTGGCGGAGCCCGAAGTGCTGGAAATACACAAATGGCCCACCTAATTGGTCAAGAGGGCAGCATAGGCTTTCTAAACCAATAACAGACTAAAGTTGAGATAAACCAATGCAATCCATGACCACTTTTGACACTCAATTGTAAATTTATTTTACAGTTTACAACACTACCATACAAGGAATATTCTTAACAGATTCTGAACATGACTAATGATGGTCTCTAGATACTGATGCTGTATTGCGCTTCTCATTAGGTCTGATCTGAAGAGTGATTTTCTGTTGGTTATCCAAGCATTCTCACAGTTTATTCTCAGTCATCATTAGCCTTTGTTCCAAAATTGAAGCTGTCTGCAAGAAAAAGTGGCTCGATAAATATGACAATCTTTCCCCTACACTGAAAAATGTCTTTAAAAAATCAAATATTATTGTGTCCAAGCCCAAGTTAATTCATCTCCACATTGGACAAAATGTTTGCCTTGTCACTGTACAACAAAAAGAAATCATATGAGACTGTTCATGACCTTTTTTCAAACTGCTGTTTCAGAAATGAACCTTATCTTGTGATCAGGTGTTCCTTTTACCAGGTGGATGGGGTCATTAGGAGAAGTGCATCCCCACCCCATGGCTCTTGATTTCTAAAATACTTCCCTGTTCAGAAATGTTTCCACAACAAACCTGTGTGAGCACATCCAGCTGGCCAACAATGTACTCCAGTGTCATGCTCAGTTGTAGAGGAATATCTCTTTTTTCCAGGGGTGTGGTAAGGGGAAGCCGAGTAGCCGGAATGCCTCCTAAGCCATCAGCCTCCCCAGTCCTCCCTGTTACTTCATCTAATTTTCTCTTTCTCTGAAGAATGAAAAATTTACAAGAAAACACCTTGGTTAACTTGGCATTTAAACTGAACCAAGTAAGGTGGAAGGGGGTCTTGCAAACATTACATCCTAGCCATCAACTGATACAATCAAAGTCAAAAAATAGTCCTAACTAGCCTACTTCATCCAAAGAAGAGTTTTTAGTACAACAAAAAAGAATCGATCTATTACTCATGCAAGCATTCTTGTTGCACAGTAACACACATTTGCAAAACAACCAAGTAAATCTATTCACAATGTATTTAGTAGGATATTTGTTTTAACAATGGTCTATGCTATACGAACCTAAAGGATAAGCACTGTAGAACAGTTCATGAATACAGTGGAAAATATCCTATAATATCAGTAATTCATTCAATCAATTTACATTTTCATAATACTTAAGGAACTTGTTCATGAAAACTCCTGCATGCATAAAATATCTAAAGAGTAATAACTTGATGCATCCAAAAGACTCCTCAGTCTATAAACAGTTTCTGATCACATTTCACATGCAATTCCTCCAAAAGCTACCGAGCACTATGAAATTGTTTAATTGTTTACAGCGTAATCATGCAAGCTACTATCCAAAAGTGATAATTTAAAAATTCTAAATAAAAGCATGATCCATCTGATGACCAAGTTGCTATTATCAAACTTAACTAAAAGTCTTCCAAAATATGCTCATGAAAAAGTCTTCTTGCTAAAAAAATGTAAAGTTGACATGTAAAAGTTATCAACACCAATTAACACTAATCAGTGCCACTGTACAGTTATTTGCAAAAATGTATATTTTGCCTTTACAACACTCCAAAGTCTTTAACAATTAAAAAGCTTAATCACATTTGAAATCAATTTAATCAAAACTAAAACAAATTCTCCCACATGTTTGGTTATCACCAGCTTATTTGAGTGCCAATAAGACAGTGCAGGCAACATACTTGTAATTGCATAAAAATTATTGAATAGTAGAGTAGACACATCATGCTTGTGAAAGTGGACAGTGTGTATCATATGCATGTGCAGTTATGGTGCATTTTGGAGAGTTAATGTTTTTTTTATGTTATCAGATGTGGGGCAAAATTACTGAATGCTGACTGGCTGAGACAGAGGGCATTTTTTCTTAATCACCACAGCATTTTTAATAATTAAGAGGGCACAATTACTTGATGCTGATTAACCCTTTAACTCCCAATATGTCATTAGTAATTATCCTGACTGTCTGCTATACAATTCTTCTGATGTTACTTCTGAGAATTTGATATTGGATCAACTAATGATCGCCTAATTGATACTTTTCTTGGTTCTCATCACATGTCTTCTTGATTTTGTATTGATATTGTAAGGAGAAATTCTGTCTTGGTGAGTCATGGGAGTTAAAGGGTTAAGCCTTTTTGTTGTTTGCTGCAATGATTTATTGATTGTAATTTATCTAAATGAAGCCATGTAACAATGTTACCTGTATTTTGAGAATAAAATGTTCATTGAGTCCTTTGGTCAGTTATGCTTGTTTTGACATTTGTGACAGCAACGAAAGGGCTTAAATGCTAGGACATTGTGGGAAATTGCAATTTCCTAAAAAATATTGCCTTTTCAGTGATAAGCAAGTCATTGCAAGAGCCCTTGGGCCCATGCAATTACAGACACATAATGTATAACCGATGATTAGTTGCTTTCTTAAACTTGTGATTAACAAAATGAATTAACAAAATAATAAAACTTGAAGATATCCACAAAAGGTTTGCCTGTCAAGAATTAATTTTTACTTTCAAAATTGGGCATTCAATTCAGAATGTAAACTTCTTTCCCTTTGAAGTCTGTGACCAAAATCCGATCATCTAGCATTGGGGTAACACTCCACGGCGCTTTAAATTGAATATTAGTATTTGTCTTTCCAATGAAAGTTCCTTCCAACGTAAACTGTTGAATGCGATTATTCCCCCTCTCACATAAGAAAACGTTATGTTTGTCAACACATATGCCAAACGGCTGATTCAACTGTCCATCACCGTTTCCTTTTTCTCCAAACTTGTACAAAAACTGTCCTTTCTCATCAAACACTTCCACGCAGTTATTATAGAGATCAGTTACAACGAACTTTTCCTCATAACAAACGCAGCTGAGAGGATGATCTAGTCTTTCAGGACCGCTGTCTCCAAACTTAAACACAGGTTCACCGTCCATTGTAAAAACCTTAATCCTGCTGTTCTCGTACTCCGCTACAACGATGAAACGTCCATCACTTGTAACACAAACACTTGCAGGATTCTTTAACTCTCCATCTCCACTTCCCTTTTTTCCAAAGCTTTTCACAAAGTTCCCTGTATGTACATTCAACTGCTGTATTCGGTGATTACATTCATCTGCCACCAGAATCTCATCATCGTTTAGGAATGTGACGCCTATTGGTGTGTTTAGTTGTCCATCCTTGTCTCCATAAGAACCTAGTTTTCGCACAAATTTTCCTGTATCATCAAATACCAGGATACAGTGACCTTTAAGATCAGCCACAGCAGTAACACCATAACTGTTCACTGCAATGCCAGCAGGACCTTGGAGCATTTCTCTCTGAAAGTCCAACTTGCCTACAACATTTAACTCTCGTACTTTTACCAGAATAGAAAATGGACTCTTGGCAAGTTTCTGTCCATTTATCTTCACTTTCATTTTATAAGTACCTGGTACTTTCGCTACAAATTTTGCTTGGAAATTTCCATCTTCTTTCTCACTCGTCGCCAAACTCCTCACCTGATCCGCAGGGTCCAAGTGTATTTCAACACGATCTGTGTGCCGAGTGTTTCTGATTTCTCCTTCGCTTGTTTTGGGACAAATTAGTAGCTCTGCCTCTATACCAGCTTGAAAATTCTGATCCAGTCCTTCCACGACCGATCCTTGCACATCTGTTTCGCTGAATTTCGTAAATCCCAGACTCAAACTCTCTGGTTCACATGTCGACACAAACTCCACACTCGAGTTAACCAGAAGTACAGGCATTGTGGTCTCGATGAGGTCTTCGGTTCGTTCTTCTACATTTTTCTTGTTTTGCATTATGTCTGAACTTGAGCCTCTTTCAACCAGGTTGTTACTGAACTCAAATGCTTGGTCAAGTTGCTTTTCCAAAGAGACAACCAATGCTTTTCCAGAATGTAATTTCTCCATCCTTGACACGCGAGTCTTCTCGAGGGCAGAAATGGCTTCACGCTCCAGTTGACGAAGCTTTCCCATCATCTGTTCGGTTACTTGAGAGACTTGGCGTTTAGCTGTGGTAATGTTCGTTTCCAACTCAAGTTCCGTCTTCTCAAATTCACGAATAACACCTCGGCAAGCCTCTTTCTTCCCTTTGACCAGCTGCGCTCTGGCAATGATGTTTACTTTTTCATCGTCCGCTGCCTTTTCAAGCGGAACAACGTCGTGGCTTTTGTGATCTGTGACAATGCAAACTTGACATATACACCTCTGACAGTCCACGCAATAAAAACGAATCACATCTTTTTTGTGGTAATTCTCTGAGCAAAATGACTGCCGTTTGAACAAAGCCTCGTAGTCTGTAGCTTGAAACTTTTGCACTGGTGTGACTTTGTGTCCCTCAAACATAGTTTCTCGAAACACTTCGTGTGCTTTCACACAGTCGGGGCACATAAACTTCTCACAATCAAAACAGTAGTTGATCTCAGCGCTCTTCTTCTGGCATGTACTACAGCTGATCTCGCTTCCTTCGCCACCGCGTCGAACAGCAAGAAGACTCAACAAACTGTTGTGCAGAAAACTGCTTGGCAGATCATCAAAGTGATTTCCTTCAGGGATGCGAATTTGTGCCTGACACACAGGGCATGGATAAACACCTTGGTTTTGTCTCGCTAGTGCATGTCTCTCTAGGCATTCACAACAGAACGTATGAAGACAAGCAATGGTCTTCGGTTTCGTGTAAGTATCCGAACAAATCGAACATGTTACATGCTCTTTGAGGTTTTTCAGAAGTGACTCCATGATCACGAATTGTACAGAGAAACACAGCCCTGTTTTGTTTGAGGTTCCGAGAAACTGACTTGGATTAGAATTCTATTTAAAGCAGCGAATTAGATCTCTGTAGGATTGCGTGATCTTCGCGCAGTGATTGACGGAGTGACATTGCAATTTTTTTAACCGAATGTCTTCGTTCTGTAGACCGAATGTGTCGCTCTAGCCACTGTATCACGAAGAACAACATGCTACGAAGGTTTGGAAATAAACCATCTACCTCATTTTATCATTGCAACATTTAGCGCCGTTTAGTGAGTTTAGGATTAAGCAAAACTTGTTTTACTCCACAAGAAAAATAAAACAGTGTTCTATTAAAGGCAGCGAATCGGACTTCTTAAGAAGAGATCTCGTGTTCTCTAGTGCGGTATTTGATAGCTTCAGTTTTGGATTTCAGTGTTTCTGAGGAAGCGTGAGAGAGTAACCATAAACAGTTGTCTAGTTTTCATGTGCTGTCACGAGAGACTAACGGACAGGGAAAATCTGCATTCTTATGAGGACGGAAACTAGCTTCTAAAGGTTGTAACTTATTTTGAATCGCTTCCGTATTGCATTTGGTGCGGATCGTGGACTAGGATCAATGTCAGGGGAACTGCTTCCCTACCATTTTAAAAATTAAAGATAGTAGGGCAAAGTTTTAATAATACACTGATTTATATTCTTGCTTTTTTAAACTGCTAAAATCTGGCAAATGATTCTGTCTCGAGACGAAAAAGGTGAACAAAACGTAACAAATATCACATTGACTAGCGTTCGGTCAAAGTGTTAATGATTAACTCTTTTTAAAAAATTGGCGCCGGCTCTGTTTTATTTGAGTTTAGAGACCTTAAACTAGTTCAAACCTGTATGAACATTTCAAACCAAACTACAGCATTTTATTTAGCGTAACCAGCGAAGTCTACGGGCAGTCCCTCCTTTTCGGCTGTCGGAAATGAGACTAAAGAATCTGCTATGTTCCGAAACTTCACGTTTTATTTTATAAAATCAACTTAATCTCCCGCTCTCTCTCACCGTTCTCTGTCTTTCGCTCTGGTCTCTCTCATTTTTAAATATATAATATGATCCTATTGTTCAATCATCTGTCACTTATCGCAAAAAATCAACCGGAAATCAATTAACGCTGAATAATCTCTCACACACTCCCCTGTTTTTCTTAACGGAGAAAAACACTAGAATGGCGCGCTCGATAAAATTTGAAATTCAATGAACGAAACAGAAAGTTAGTCCAGTATATCAGTTCAGTGTTCCTAAATATCTCTAATCGGCATCAATGTTCGCATCTTGAATGCGATAACGAGCGGCTACCGCTGCATCCCTCCTGGGCCTGAATGTCGGGGCTAAGGGGTTGAGCTGCAGAGGAGCCTGTACATTCTCCCGATCGCAGGACAGCTCCAGTGGGTAAAGGTGTTGTACCGCCCGTTCAAGTGTTCCTTTCCCCGCTCGAAGTTTGGCAGCTCGAACGATTCCGTCTCGTCCCGGAATCAGATCTTCCACGATTCCAATTTTCCATTTATTGCGATTTCGTTCCTCGTCCTTGATGATGACTACCTCTCCTTTGGCCAAGGGCGTGGTTTGACCCTTGTGTTTCATCCGGTGTCGTTCTCTCAACCCTCGTAAATATTCGGTAGTCCACCTGGTCCACAAAGCCTGCTTGCACCTTCGCAAATATTTAGCTCTTCTACGCAGATCAAATTCTCTTAGATGGTGTGGTTCCAGTTCTGGTAGCTGGTTTGATCGAAGAAATAGCAGTGAGTTAGGGGTAAGCACGGGTAACTGTATGTCGTCTTCGACGTAACATAAAGGGCGATTATTCAAAGCAATCTCCACATCCAGTACCACTTCACACAGCTCTGTCCAGGTCAACATTCCGCATCCGATAGTCTTGTTTAAAGCTGTTTTTACCAGTGCGATGAGGCGCTCGAACTGTCCTCCCCACCAAGCGGCGCGGCTGAGGTTGAATTGCCACTTGATGTTCTCATGTGCTAAGTAATCTTGTGTCTTCTCGTCACGCATAACTTGTTTGAGCCACTTCTCAGCGCCAACAAAGGTTTTGCCATTGTCGGAATATATCTTCTTCGGACGCCCACGGCGCGCGATGAGCCGTTTTAGACTTCTTAGGAATTCACTGGTTGCCAGGTTTGGTAGTACTTCCAGGAATAATCCTCGGGTAAGACTGCACGCGTACAATGCAAGATAGGCCTTTCCTTCTGTTTTGGCTTGTAAGTCACTTGGTAAGGGCCTATCCCATGCGATCTTCGTGTCGCAGGCATCTCTGTAGAGCATTTTTCCAGAGAGGGTCACGGGTGAAGCCAGACCGAGTGGATCGTAGATTTTTGCGACTTTTCCAAGAATACCTCTTTTTGTCGGCTCAGCGGTTGAAATCGGGAAGCTGACTTGAATTTCGTCCTTTTCTTTGTCCCAGGGGACTCCTAGCAGTTTTGATTCGCCCTTTCTGGTTCCCAGTTGTTGTTTGGCGTAACTCTGACTTTCTTCATCTACAGTCGCAGTTTCAACTTCTAGTTCCCGATCGTTGGAATGCCACTTGTGCAGCTTGAAAGTCGCCTCACCAAAGATGGTCGTGGCTGTCATCTTGATTTCTAACGCTTGTTCTGTTGTCTCCCCACCACTGATTAAATCATCCACGTACATACTGCGCTCTATCTCCTCTACTAATTCCGGGTTCACCATTTTGTATCGCTGTAGATGTTCTTTGATAACTGCGGCCAAGAGGAATGGAGACGGTGCCAAACCAAAGAGTACTCGAGTGAATCGCAAGGTTTCTACTTGTTTGCTTGCCAGATCCTTTATCCAATGAAAGCGTAAGGCATCTCGGTCTTCTCTTCGGACGCGAATTTGCAAAAATGCTTGTTTTAAGTCGCCAGCTATTGCCACGGGATAGAACCTATTTCGTACCAGCACGTTCCAAAGCTGGTTTTGTAGTGGAGGGCCGATTTCGAGGCACTCGTTGAGTGAGGGGACACTTGCATTAGCTCTTGCAGAAGCATCATAAACAATGCGTATCTTTGTAGATTCTGCATTCTTGCGCACGACCGCTTTATGAGGAATGTAGAACTCTTTTCCGTCCTTGACCACCTCGTCAGCGTGTTCTACGATCCCTTGGCTCAGTTGAGTCTGGATAATGTCGTTGTACCTCTCCAGCTCGCCTTGTATCTCTAACTTCCGCACGAGATTTTTGAGACGTTTTAAACTTCCAGTGTGATTGTTCGGTAGGGGGGGGTGATTTCCTTTCCAGGGCAAGTTCGTCTCGTACCAGCCTTCTGAACTCCTAGTTAGTTGCTCTTTGAATTCTTCGTAAACGGTTTCCTGGTCTCCACTTGGATTGTCCTTCAACCCCAAGACGTCTAACTTGCACAATTCTTCGTAATCAATTGCGGAGGTCTGCGTTAACAACATGTTGCTGAGATCCAACTCTGTTCCAGGTGACAAGATCGTCCAGCCGAACTTCGTGTATTCTGCTACTGGTTCTCCCGAGCGCCCAACTCTTGGTCTTGCCCCTGTTTTGATCTTAGCGTACTCGTTTGTTCCAAGGATCAGATGAACAGGCAACATCGCTTTCTCGTCGTTATCATTTGTGGTTACGCCCTTCAAATGAGAAAACTGAGCCACGATTTCTGCGCATTTTGGGTTTTCCAATGTCAACAACTCTTTGCGGTCGACTTTGTTTACTTCGGCTTCCAAGGTGAATTTACCATCAACGCTTCGAATTTGTAGGCCATAGATGTCTATCGCTTTGTTTGAAGTACCAAACATCATTTCAATGCGCTTGAATTGTTGACGGATAGGGCGCAAATGTAAGCAGTTCAGAAGCGTTGAAGAAGCGTAGGAACTTCCGGCTCCTGTATCCAACAATGCTCGGCATCTAACACCGTTCACGTCAACTGTTACCATAGGATACACCACTCCTTTCCTTTCTGCGCTCGTTGTGGTCATCAGCTGGTCTCGCGATGTATGTTTGTCACAGATCGACGTATGATGTCTTCGACTGCAGATCTGGCAGCCAGAACGGCATTTGCACTCAGAAGCACGGTGTCGACTTCCTGTGCAGTTAAAACAAAGCTGTTTCAGTCCTAATTGTTTCCTGCGGTCTCCAACTGTCACAAACTTGTCGCAATTCACAGCTCTGTGGTCAGTTGCGTCACAGTAGACGCACCCTCTTTGTGTTGGCGTAGTTTCGTTTGCGTGAAATGTTTTCTCGCGATCGCGGAATTTAGCACCTTGCTTCCCCGCATTATCCGCGCCGCTCCCAATGGGGTTGATTTCCTTCCAACTTTTCAAAGCTTTTATCAACTGTGGGAAGTCCCAGTCCTGCCAGTCCACTTGTCCTCTCACTAGATCTGCTTTTACACCCTTTAGTTTGTCGAGCACACTCCTTACATTTCCAGTGACGTCTTTCAATTTGCCCAGTGTCTCCAAAGATTGCACATTGTACACGAGCTTCTTGTAAAATTCGTGGATAGGCGCAGGTTGTGTTCCTGTAATGACAGGCAAATTCGCGATGTTCTGGACGTACGCATTCACGATCTCGCTCGTTTTCCCATATTCGCCGATGAGGATATTCTTTGCCCTTTCGTAGCCCTCTGTTGTGAAAGGCAGTCCGTCTATCTCCGCTCGAACCTTTGGATCTACCAGCTCTTTTAGGTATGCAAACTTGGTCACAGACGCAAGGCTTGCTTTATCAATTTCAGCTTGAAATTTGTTCCAGAACGGCAGCCATGCTTCATACGTCCCATTAAACTTTGTGATCTGTAGTTTCGGTAGCTTTGTTGTCCTTTGTTCAGTCTGATTAACCTTCTCAACAGGTTGCTGTTTTGCCTTGGTCTCTTCCAGTTGGCGTTCGAATTCTAGCTTCATCTCCATTTGCTCTCTTTCGAATTTAAGCTCCTCTTCACGAGCACGGGCTTTCCTTTCTTCTTCGTCCTTGTGCTTTCGATGTTCGATCTCTCCATTCGTCTCCACGAGCCATTTTTCTAGTCGCGAAACTTCTTCGTCAGCTTCGGCGATCGGTTCTTCAATGCTACTGCTCCAACTTCCAACGTCTTCTGCACTTTTCCCGGCCTTGAACATGGTCTGTTCAACCTTTAGTTTAAGCGCGTCTACTTCTTTTACTAATGCTTGTAGGTTGTCGCGATGTCGCGCAACCGCTCCTATGTTTCCCTTTTCCACAATGCCACGTGTTTTTCCATTAGTGTACAGCAACATCTGCAATTTAGCCTCTGCTTCTTTGGTTAGTTCCTCCATGCTTCGCGCGTCCCGTCGGAGGTGCCACTGTGTCGGAAATGAGACTAAAGAATCTGCTATGTTCCGAAACTTCACGTTTTATTTTATAAAATCAACTTAATCTCCCGCTCTCTCTCACCGTTCTCTGTCTTTCGCTCTGGTCTCTCTCATTTTTAAATATATAATATGATCCTATTGTTCAATCATCTGTCACTTATCGCAAAAAATCAACCGGAAATCAATTAACGCTGAATAATCTCTCACACGGCAAAGTCCGTTACGCGAGTCGAAAAAAGTCAGTGAAGAAAAAATTGTTAATGCTCACTCCCAGGGCTCAGAGCGGCGCGTGAACATCTTTTTTTTTTTCAGCTCTGATTTTTTTTCTTTTAACTCGCGCAACGGACTTCGCCCAAAAGGGAAAAAACCGCTTGGCTGCAGTTATTCGCAGCCACACTATTTTCAGTTCATTCTTGTGACCATGCAACTGTCAAACATCAGCCTTCCGGTTCAACAAATGTAAATTTCATTGAGACACAACCAAAATCCTCCAACCCTATCTACCCCCACCATGATAAATAATCACCAGCCCCAGAGGAAAAAGGGGGGGAATCAGCATTCGCCGACAGAGTATCGAGGGGGACTATAGAAAATTGACTACTAGTGAGAAGGGGGATCATAAAAATATTGCATGGGGGGAGGCCAGGGGTTATAGTGGGGGAAATCTACTGTCACCAACAGAGTATTAAAGGGAACTATAGAAAATTGACTGCAAATGAGAAGGGGGATCATAAAAATATCACGGAGGAGGGGGTTAAAGTGGGGAAAATCAGCTGTCGTTAACAGAGTATTTAAGGGGACTGTAGAAAACTGACTGCAAATGAGAAGGAGAATCATAAAAATATCACAGAGGGGAGGCAGGGGGTTATAGTGGGGGAAATCTACTGTCACCAACAGAGTATTAAAGGGGACTATAGAAAATTGACTGTGAATGAGAAGGAGGATCATAAAAATATCAGGGGGGAGGCCGGGGGTTATAGTGGGGGAAATCTACTGTCACCAACAGAGTATTAAAGGGGACTATAGAAAATTGACTGTGAATGAGAAGGAGGATCATAAAAATACTGCAAAACCTTATGGAGGGATCAGGTAAATTTCGTTGAGACACAACCAAAATCCTCCAACCCTATCTACCCCCACCATGATAAATAATCACTAGCCCCAGAGGAAAAAGTGTTAGAAGGGTACCTGAGCAAGCCCCACTTCAACCACTTCTGGGTCACCAACAGCAAGATTCCCAGGCTCTGCTCCAGCTCTGACCTGTAAAATGTAACAAATTAATTAACAACCTTTTCAACATGTTCATTGTTTTCAAGCAATTATTAATGGAATGTTGAAGGTAATCTGAGATTGCTTTGGTTTTAACTCACTTTGCTCTGTGATTGGTCAAGAAAACTTGCGTCTCTTTCTGAACCAATCAGACTCAAAATTCCAACCAAGTGTGACTTGATTACTTGCATTTTCCCATGCTTCAGCCAGTTTGTTTGCTTTCACTATCAGTTTTCATTAGCTGCTCATGTTATTTTCTTTTCATCTGGTTGGTCTTTGAGATTTCTTGGGTTTGGTTTTACAACCCTACCCCCTTGGTGGGATATCAGTCCATTGCAGGTTACCATCCTTGCATTTCATCAGGTTTCCTTGACAGCAGTACCCATTTATAATCGCGGGTGAAGAGGAGCACTCTGATAGTTAACTGTCTCACCCTAGAACACAACACAATGACTTGTCCAGGTCTTGAACGCAGAGCTCTAGACCTTTAACCCCTTACTCCCTAACATCAGTATGCATATTCCCCCAACTGTTCTTTAAACGTTTCCCAAGGAGCTGACAAGGAGAATTTGATTAACAATCAAGAGAGGTTATTTAGTTTATAATAATTTCCTTTTTTTCTCATAGCCTTAATGTTTGATTCTGGGGTGATATTGAAAGGAGAAATTAGATGCTAGTCACTCTTAAGGGAACAATAGTTTAAGCCGTCATCTCATACTTAACATTCTTGTTTGTTCTTAAAATTTCCTGTCTGATGAATTCACAGCTTGTCCAGACTTACCTTGGGTGCAGCTTCTTTAGGCAGAGTCCTTGGAGGGGGTCATGAGTATGGGGTGTTGGTACAGATGGAGATGCTGCCCTTTTTTTGTGGGAGTGTAGCACTGAAAGCATCACAAAAAGCTATTTAACGCACCACCAGTCACATGTAGGAGGCTTAAGCAGCTAAAAAATTAAAAACAAACAACAGCACTTACCCACTATCATTACAATTAAATTCTTCTTTCTGATACACAAAATACAGGACATGTCACAGAAATTAAAAAAAGATTGTTTACATGTGGCACTGAATAAGAATTGAGTCATTGAGTAGGTTTAGGTGCAGTTCACAGATAAGAGCCCCAAAATATGTAACTATGTTAAATATGTATAGAACACATCTAGACCTGACACAGACTGGTCTTGACAGACAAGCAAATATGTCTTGAACAGTGTTAAAAATCCACCCTTATTCTGGGATGTCACAATCTGTCAAACATTACCCTAAAATAATGTGAGAATGTCTTATAGGATACAATTCACCTTAACCTTCACTAACTGCACAAGCAAAATTGAAGAGGTGGAGGGAAAAAAAACCTTAAGTGACTTGTGATGAACTACAAGATTCTCCTTCCAAATTGTTTTGTATTACCTCACAAAAAAAAGGGAAGTTGGTGTTCCGCCCAAAAATAGCCTTGAGGCTTTTCTCTTATCACCCCTTCAACTGTTAACCCTTACAACCCTAAGAGTGACAAGCATCTAATTTCTTCTCCTAATTTCACCCCTGAATCACACATTAAGGTCATGAGAATACCTGTAGGAAATAGGCACTGACTAAAGAAGCCCTTCCGATTGTTCAACAATTTCTCCTTGTCAGCACTTTAGGAAATGTAGAGCAAACAGTATGGAGAATATGCATACTGATGTTAGGGTGTAAAGGATTCACTCACCTTAACTAGTACAGCAGACTTGAGTTGAGCCTTTGCTCGACAGTCTTTTGAATGACTAAGTAGAAACAAGAAAAATAACTTATTTACTTTTTGCTTCATTAACATGTCATTTTATTCTTAGCACTCTTTCAATTAGGTATATCAATCAATACAATCACATTTGTGAATCAAACTGAAATAAAATTCTCAAATGTGATTGGTTAGAAGCTCAATTTAAGAACCAATAGGATAGAGTCCACACATTATGCCTTTGCAATTCAAGATTACACAAGTTTTTATGAAATAATGACTCTGTTTGACCTATGACTATTTTGTTGTTTCTGAATCAAAACATTCTACTATTGTGTGTGGTTGAATAATGTGCTGTCAAATCATTTCAAATGACCAAACAGATTTACCTTAAACCTTTACACCCAAACATCACTGTGCATATTCTCCATACTGTTCTCTATACATTCCCAAAGGTGCTGACAAGGAGAATTTGTTTCACAATCAAATACTTCTTACGTTGCTGGTTGTTTCCTTTATTCTCACAACTTTAATGTGTGATTTAAGGGTGATATTGTAAGGAGAAATTAGATGCTAATCACCCTTAGGGGTTAAAAGGTTACGGGTTAAGATGACTTTAGAACTAAAAAAATGCTCTGTGATATGTCTCACCAAAGCCAGTCCCTGATACAACCAAAACAGAAAGTGTGTGAGCAAGGCAAAGTGTGTGCCAATACTATCAGTTCACGACAGATACAACAAAGTAGCTCCTCATTTAAATCTTTCAAGCACTTCTTTGATCTGCTGTCATCTACTAAATGAAATAAAAATTTAACATGAGCCCTGGCTATGTAACCATTAATGCAATTGATAATAATTTTCTCCCAGACTTTTGTTGGAGGAATACTTGCAATTTTGATGGAGAATATACAAAGTCATGTAGCATTAAATCGAAAGTAAGAGGAGTATAACTGGGTACCAGATAATTTTCAGGGAAGCCTGATGAAATGCTGGGGGGGGGGGGTAACCTTGTGATGAGCTGATATCCCATCTAGGGGGGGGAGTGGTGAAACTCCTAGTTGCTTCATGCTAAGGAAGCCAGAATAATCTCCCACTAGTTGGGTCACTTTGCTTGCAAACAGACTTTATTTACTCTTTTTTATCAAAAGTGGCATTAAGGGCTTTTTTCTTCACATCCTTTCAACAATAGACAGATGCCTTCAGTGGAGAGTTGCATCCTACATTTGTAACATTACATAAGATAAAGTTCAGTTTAATTCACTTCTTGGAGTTAAATATACCTTCACTGATGTTTACTTCTTCCTGTGGATCAGCTTTTTGATCAACTTCAAAAACCTGGGATTGGAAAATAATATTAATGGTTTTGATACATGCCACAGAACACAGTGTACTACACTGAATGATACCCTGAGAAATTGATTATCCTGATAAAATGTAAAATTCATCTCTTTTAACTCTTGGATTTTCAGAAGTGATTAAGTCTGTAACTTAATAATGTCCATATGCTACCCAGTAAATATTAGAATACATGGTACTAAAAACTTATCTATAGAAGCTGCTTTCTTGATCTGATTATTTAAACAAAGTTTAGCCATTATTTCACAAGACCTCATCCTAAATAATCTTCAATTTAGCTGGAACTTTCATCTGAGCATTTGTTTTTGTGAACATTGTCAAGAGGGCCAAAAGCTGACAGTAGATGGAGATGACAATTTAATAAAATCAACAACCCTGTTATAGAGAAAGCCTTGGATCCACTGAATGTGTAAAACCATGGTTTGGGTTAGATCTCTAAAAATAACCTGTCCTTAGGGTCATAACCCTATAAATTTAATTTCAGTGGTAAAGATATAAGGTAAATTTGTTTTCTCTTTGCCTTTTCTTTAAAAATGATATAAAAAAATAGTAATTTGCCACTTGATAATCATTAAATCAGAAGCCCAAGTTTATCTACCTGCTTATCGTCCATGCTGCCTTTAGTCTTCTTTTCACATGGAGAGCTGAAAATTACAAAAATATTAGAAGTTTGACAGGCCTAGCTATCAGCATTCAATAGGAAGTTCAGATTAGGTCTTGACACTTGGTCTTATTTGTAGCAGACTGGAACTTGATTTTAGGAACACATACAACAAAATGGTTATGTTAAGGAGGTGTAATGAGTGGGAACCTGTTTCGGGAGATCCTGGTAACTTAAGAGGCCTGTACAGCTGTCTGTTTTCATTCAAGATGAGGGTTTCAGAAGTTATGAAATTATACAATACAACTATCAACAAAATATTAAAAATGAACTGGTTAGGGTTGTTAGAATCTGCTTCTCTATTGGCTTTAAATATTGACTTTAAAATATGGTTTGGGGCCTGTTAAGTTACTGGGACAGTAATTCAAGAAACAGGCCCCCCAACTTAAGATATGAAGATGCCCCTACACCTTTGGGGAAAATGTGTATTTGACCCTTGGAAGAAAGATGATAGTCTTCATGCAAAATCACAAAATAATAAAAAACTGGGGTATGATCTTGATCCCGCTTAAGAGTTACAGACAAAATAGTATCTGCTAAGGAAGCGAAAGAGGCAAGAGGTTGTTGTAATTTCTATGATCTCAACCCACACCACCCCCTTGAAATTTTTTTCCAGAGTATTTATTTCTCTGTCTAGTACCCTACACTCCTTTTCTAGGTCAAGTGACCCTACTCTCCATCATTACTACCCCTACTTCTGAGTGTTATGTACCCATACCTCACTCCTTCACTTAGTGATGCGGGCTTTTTCCGTTTGCTTCGCCTTCGCACGCTTCCATCGCTTGTTCCTTCCCCAAGGGAGCCCACTTCTTCAGAATCATTCTGGCAGACCTCATTAAAAACATACACAAGCTCCGAATCGTAAGCTGACAAACTCTGTCCTTCTTTCGTTTTAACGCCAGCACCTCCAAAGACAACAACATCACCATCGCATAGGACAGCAGAGCTACGCTTTGTTTTGTTGACTAGCAGCCCGTTCAGTCCTTTACAATCAATTCTGAATTTTCCATTGCTGAAATGAATTTCAGCGTGAACACGACTGATCATTAAAGGAGATATCACACTGTCAATAACAACATCTGAATATTCATCACTGCGTCCGAGACGAGTGACAGTCGGTTTTAGCAAAATTTTTTCTGGTTGTAGAGATGGATCATAGCAATTCCCTTCGACCCTCTGCAGACGGAGCATTTTTCTCCTCTGTTTCAGTGTGCAAAAGCCTCTCATACCACTTCAAGATTCTTCTTGACTGTGTTCTTGAAGTACTCTCCAAGCGGCCATTTTAACAGTACGACACGATATTCGGAAATCGTTCGGACAAGATCGGACAAGCTCGGGTGTAACTTCTCGTTAGCAAAATCAGGAATAGGGAAAAGGATAACGGATATGAGGAATGAATGTGAAAGTGATGTTTTGTTTTCTCGCGGATCTCTGTCACGCTCACATCGCTCGTAGGCTCGAAACACGCGAACTGTGTTGATCAGCATGCAAAGTTTTGTACTTTTAATTGAATTTAGATGTTTCCGAACCCAGTCTGTTCGGACAGTGTATGCACAAAATAGGGAATTTTGCCCCTTGATGCTGTCGTTGTGTGGCATCGTGAAAGTTTGAATATACAGCAAAGGTCGGTAATAATAGTTAATTAATTAATTAATTAATCTGATTGCGGTTCTTATATTGCCATAGTAACTTTATATGATATGTACACACAGATATAAAACACTGTATTCTTAAACTGGGTACCCAAAAGCCGTGCCCCCCGTTTCTAAGACTCGTGTCTTGTTGGAGGGAGGATGTTTTAAAATGGATATTGATCCGTGGTTGATATGTGTAAACTTTTCATTGGACCAAACTCTTTTGCTTCTTTCCCCCTGACATGGGTCCCTCTTCAACCCCTGGTATTCTCCTCAATATGTGGTAGCATGATGGAGTCATTAACAGGTTTTCTAAAATACTGCTGTTCAGAAATGTTTGCACACCCAGCACATCCAGCTAGCCCACAATGAGCTCCCCCAATGCTCTTGGTTTCTAAAATACTTCCCTGTTCAGAAATGTTTGCAACTGAATGCCTCCCAAACCACCTTCAATGTGTCTCTGAAGAATGAAAATTTGCAAGACAAGCACATCAAGCATTTGATGCTATCTGGCAAAGTCAAATAATAATTCTCCACTTCATCCAATGGAGAGTTTTAAGTACAACAAAAAAGATCATTTACCTATTATTCACAGTGTTGCACAGTAATACAGCAAATGTCATGCTCAGTAAGATATTTGTTTTGTGGAGGATAAGCATAGTTCATGAATATGGTGAAAAAATCCTTCAGATTGCTTATTCTTAAAAATTCAACACTTCATGCATTCAAAACACTTCTCAGTCTTAAGATGATTTCTAATCACATTTTAGATGTAATTCCTCCAAAAGCAACTAAGTACTACGAAATTGTCAAATTGTTTACAGCTTAATCATGCAAGACACTGTCCATGAGTGGTCATTAAAGAATTGGATGTAAAAGCATGCTCCATCTGACGAGTCAATTAATATTATCGAGCTCAACTATCAGTCTCCCAAAATATACTCTTAAACCTGCGGAAGAGTCTACTTAAACCTGCTGCTTAAAATATATAAAGTAAATAAGTAGTTGACAACACAAACTCTCCACTCTCCACTTAAATCACTTGATGCTGATTGAGTCTTTTTGTTGGTGGCCCAGTTAATTTAACTGAATGAAGCCGTGTGATGTTGGTAACTGTACTTTCAGAATAAAATGTTTCCTTGAATCTATTGGTCAGTTACATCTGTTTTGACATTAGTAGCAGTATTGAAAGGGATAAATCATGCAGATATTGTGCGCAAATGTAATTCCCTTTATGTGATAAACAAGTAATCGCAAGCGCCCTCGGGCCAATGGGATTGGAAATACAAAACATATAACCAATGACTGTTTGCTTTCTAAACTACTGACTGACAAATCAGGCTTCGCGGTCGTCTGATTTTGTCAATCACTAGTACGATTAGAGATCAGATTGGAGTCCACTCAATCCTATTACTATTATCAATATACGACACAAACAATCACATTACCGAAATGATGAATCAACAGTTCTTTGAACTCTCCAAAGAAAATTAGAAGGCAGGTTGCTGATTCTAGCCATTTTCTTTCCGATTCTCTTACGACCAATGACATGTCACAATTTTCCGTAAATTGATAAAATAATAAAACTCAAAGATATTTGCTAAAGGTTTACTTTTGAAAAAGATGGACGTTCCTTATGTAAACTTCTTTCCCGCGGAAGCCTGTGACCAAAATCCGATCATCTAACATTGGGGTAACACTCCGAAAACTGTTTCGAATGTTTTTATACCAAAACTATGGCAGAAGGATGATGATCTTCATGCAAAATCAGTTAAACAAGATTGGGCTTTGATCTTGATCCTACTTCAGAGTTACAGACAAAATATTATCTGCTAATGAGGTGAAAGAGGCATCAGGTGTTGTTGTTGTTGTTGTTTATTTCTGCATATTTCTATGATCTAAACCCACACCGCCCCCTTAAAAATTTTCCCAGAGTATTTACCTCTCTGTCTAGTACCCTGCACCCCTTTTTCTGGGTCAAGTGGCCCTATCTCCATCTTTACTACCCCTACCTCTCTATCATGTACCCATACCATAGTACTTCACTCGGTGATACAGGCTCCCATCGCTTGTTCCTTCCCCAAGGGAACCCAATTCATTCGGAATCATTCTGCGTTTCGGAAACCAGTCAGTTCGGACAGTGTATGCACCAAACAAGACATTTTGCCCCCTGATGCTGTTGTTGTTCGGCATTTGAAAGTTTGAAAAAGATAATATGTAACATTTCTAGATAAGCCCTTTCTACATAGAGGGCAGATTTGTTACATTAATCCGGTAACAGGCATGGAAGCATGACAGTGGTGTAAATAAAACTTTTTTATGCGGCCTTCTTTGTATCACAGTTCAGTTACTCTAAATGTAAATGGTAGGTTCCCTAAGCACTAGGCCTAGTCTCTGCCGAGATTTTGCCATTCGACACTACGTTAAATCTCAGCGCACGTGTGTTTTCATCGCTTGTTATTTTCGCTTTTATTTTTCGGATGAGGATCGTTTAACTAGACTTACATCGAAGAAAAAGAACATTACGGAACCATTACGGATATTGTAGCACTTTTCAAGGTTACGGAAAAGGACACTTACTTGTTTGAAAGGATTTATCATACAGCATTGTATTCGAACAGTGTGCAGAGCGTAGTTGATCGGATCGAATAAAACGTGGTATTGACACTGAATTGACGGCTGTTACACAAAATCTTTTTGACAACCCTGAGAAGGCATTACATGGCCGTGGGTTGATACAAATTTATCCTCGAGTGTCGACAACATCTCTCTTTTGTGAGAGATATTATAAACTCGTATCCACCAGCGGACAAATAACGTTCTGTTTAGTCTAGGTCTAAAGTTACTGAATACGTATTTAAACGAAAAACAATTTTAAAACACATAAGAACATTGAATACAGAGAACACCAGCAAATAAAATCAGCTAATAGAAAAGCTACTTCAACCTCCGACTAAATGTAAAACAAGTTCTCATTCCAAACATACAGCAAAGGTAGGTAAAAATATTTTATTAATCTACTTGTAGTTCTGCCATTGACTTAGTAACTTTATGTGATATTTACTCACAGATATAAAACACTGTACTCTCAAAAAGCGCATTTCAACTGAGTGTCCTACAACCCAATCCAAAGTGATCACAACTGCCAATCATCGAGCACTTTTCAATTCAGTATCGAAAAACCAAAACCAAGGTAATCACAACTGCCAATCAGAAAAAAGGTTTCCATGATTATTAGCCAATGAGAACTCAGAGTAGAAACAGCCAACCTCCTTAAAGCGCGGGAAAACGCGAGTGATCAGGTCGTATTTGGTCTTAGTTTTACATATGATTGGTTAAGATTGTGACGCGAGTCTTTCTGAGTTTCTGTGGACCAACCACACAAAGAAGTAAAGCAGAACCAAAGCAATACAGCATCACTTTCGATACTCAGTTGGAAACTGCTCTAAAAAAGGAAATATAGCAAAAGGCCAGAGATAACTCAAAAGAAAAACTAGCAAAGAGCCTGAAGCGCTGGAAATATACGAATGGCCCTATTCCAACACTCGATCATGATGAGGCACGTACTTGATTGGTCAAGAGGGCAGCATAGGCTCTCTAAACCAATAACAGACTACAGTCAAGGTAAACTAATACCCATGACTATATCCATGACTACTTTCGACACTCAATTGAAAATTTCTTTTATAGTTTACAATATTACCATACAAAAATTAGTCTTAAAATAATTCTGAACATGACTAATGATTAAGTCTCTAGATACTGATGCTGTATTGCACTACTCGTTAGGTCTGATCTGTAGAGTTATTTTCTGTTGGTTATCCAGGCACTCTCGTAGTTTATTCTCAGTCCTAGTCAGACTTTGTTCCAAACAAAAAAGTGGCTCAATGAATATGACAATCTCTCCCCTACACCAAAAAAATATCGTAAAAAACTCAAATATCATTGAGTTTAGGCGTAAGCTAATAAATCTCCACGTTGCACGAAATCTTTGACTCGTCTCTGTACAACAAAAAACTCATATAAGACTGTTCATGACCTTTTTCCCGACGGGAGCCATGGACTTGATAGCTAATTGCTGTTTCAGAAATGAACCTCATCTCGCGACCAGGTATTCCTTTTTCTAGGGGGAGGGGGAAGAGAGAAAGAGCAACTATAGTGCTTCCCCACCATCTTTTCCCTCCCTCCCCCCCCCCCCCCCACCCCCGGCACCTGATCCAGGCTAAAGGAAGGGTGTTTTAAAATGGATATTGATTAATAGCTGATAGGTGTAAACTTTTCATCAGGCCACACCCTTTCGCTCCTTTCTCCCTAACATGGGTCCCCTTCAACCCCTAGTATTCTCCCCGATGAATAACAGCGTGATGGGGTCATTAACAGGAGTGTATCCCCCGTCCCCAACCCCAGGGCTCTTGGTTTCTAAAATAATTCCTTGTTCAGAAATGTTTCCACAACAAAAGACTGTGTAAGCACACCCAGCTGGCCCACAATTTACTCCAGTGTCATGCTCAGTTGTAGAGGAATATGTCTTCTTTCTAGGGGTGTGGTGAGGGGAGGCTGTGTAGCTGGAATGCCTCCCAAACCATCAGCCTCCCCAGTCCTCCCTGTTACTTCATCTGATTTGCTCTGTCTCTGAACAATCAAAATGTGCAATACAACATCTTGGTTAA